GTAAGAGGGATGACAGCATCGAATAGGGCGGGATAGAACTATCGATATTTTTTAAAGAGAAGGTGAAATGCTGGTGTATATTTTCGCCATTAAAGCTACACTGTGTCAATATTTAAGTAACTAGTCAAACAAATAAGGTCAGCCACATGTTCTCGTACCATCGCATGTTGCCTATTTATTTTTGCAATGTCACTATTAACTGATTAAAAGTACAAAAGCGCTGGACATATTTTATTTTTTGTTGAATCATAATCATTATCAACTTTTCAGACATATTATAACGTCCACTGTTAAACATAGGCCTTCCCCAATGATTTCCATGCTGACCGGTTGGTAGCAGCCTGCGTCCTTCCTGCTACCTTCATGATGTCGTCGGTCCATCATGTTGATTTTTTGTTGAATATCTGTCACAAATAATTAATGTCTTTTAGATGGACGGACTCCTTTCTTGCAGGATCTGTATTTCGTTCTGTTTGTCTTTTATAATTCGTATCATTTTGAATAATCCACAATTGTTAAAGATAAATGGGGCTTCATTTACATTTTATAATTGAATAGTTTGTTGACTTCTACTTTATCGATGTCAGATTTATTGAAAGCGCTTCACTAATATCTACTTAAGTACAGTCGGAGAAGCAATCAATTAGCAAAGTGTGAACGCTCGATTAAAACTATCTCTAGAATCTGTTTTGAAGCGAAGTGAAGGAATTAAAACCAAATTCATAGAATTAATTGAAGGACAGCTTAAAAACTAATTAAGATGTCTCGAGTGAAAGTCTCTATTTGTTACATTTTCCAAAAAACAAAATTAACACCAATAAATTGTATCCACTGAGTTAAACGCAGATTTATTTGATGTTAAATATTTATTTGAATAAAAGGAAGTAAGTGAACGAATGAATGAACGAAAACATCAATCAGTTGAATGGTCAATCAATCAAATTGGCACAGAAAGATGAGCGTACAGATAGCATCTGGTGATTCTATCGGAAAGCACGACCGAAATACAAGGTGTAATAAAAAGGCTGGTCAACATTTTAGCCATGATTTCAGACCTCGCTCAGAGCTGAAAACTAGTGGTTTGTAAACTTGGATATTTAACCAATTTTTTGTTTGTTATGAAAGAGTTTGCAAGATACACAAAACCAATGCGTTCTGGAGATGAATTATTACGGAGAGGAATTATCATTTAACTAGTTATGATTCTTCGATACTGAAATATAAAAAAGTTGCTAGTTATTCACGATAGTATGGTCTTTAAATAAATATTTCGAAAATTATTCTTCTTGACTTTGAAGAGATTTCAAGATTCCGCCAACCCTTCCCTTACAGCCTGTATTCAAACGTTCAATTTTTCTGATCGGTTGCACTTGCTCTTACCGGTCGACGCGGGCTGAATTTGAAATTGGAACCAGATAGGTGTCCGTTAGCATTTTTTCCATCGCAAGTGCGTTTTATTTCCCTGGTTAGATGCGATTTAGATTGCATTCTGTTTACCGCTGGGAATGTGAGAATTTCTAAGGCTTTGGCACACTGATATTATGTGAGGTGGAACGTAGCACAGTGTGACGTCACGATGTGACTGCTGCATGAAATTTTTATTTGAATTATTGACTGTATGCGACTATGCGTGTATGCGTGTGTTAAAGTGTGAAGCCTACCTAGTGATTTAACAAAGTTTAGACTACGCTCACGTCACAATTTAGTTGTGCGAGAGACTGATTAAAATTATTAAGTATTGAATACAAATGAAATCCTAAAAAAATACAAGCCATTAGACTTATTAAAATTAAAGTACAGAATGCAAATGAAACCCTAAAAATTAACAAGCCATACAGGAAGTTATCTTGGTGGAAAAAGTAGAGAAAAGTTAGCGCAGCAGTTAGTAAGTATGTTAGTTAATGCTAGAAAGTCTAAGTTAGAAAGTAATTTGAATAATAAACTAAGTATTTTTTATTAATGAAAACCATGAATACATTCTCATCTCTCAAATCACACAAGCAAAAAGGTAAAATAAAACAAGATCTTTTGCTAAAACGGTATGCAACGCCAGATAGGCTAAAGCCACGGCCATTGAGCATTTGCATAATGGTCGCCAATTGCGCTCGCGACAGACGTCATCCCATCCGACGGTTGTCATCTGACTCAACGTGTGTAATAAGGAACGCGCTGGGATCTGGGAATAGATGGATGTATAGGGATTATATGCCTTGCAGGGTATTCTAATTACATTTGTTAATAACGAGGATTGATTTACAGAAATAGAACAATATTTAAAAAGTGAAGTTGATCTCGCCATTCTCGCCATAAATCTTGTCTTCAATCATCGAATACTTTCACCTGAAAAATAAAATTTGCCTATAATGACAGTTTCCGTATGGGAAATTAGTCAAATTGACAAGTTTATTCTTAAGATAAATTAAGGGACAATATTATTTGATCCTCTAAAAACTAATTGATCTTTTTTGTATGTGCACTTTTAAAAATAAATAATGTTTTTTATTATATTTTATCTTTATATTAATTATTGGGTCTATATTTGTTGATCTACGGATAAATTATGAATGATCTTCATTAAAGGTAACATAATATTTATGTTTAACATACTCTTTTAATATTTGGTAAACAAAAATAATATTTGATCCTCTTTTTTAGTTATTGATCTTTAATTTTGTTAATTTGATGATTTTTATATCAAGTTTGCCTTTTAATATTTATATTTCGTACTACTGAAAAGACCGAATATATCCATTCCGCACCAACGCATCCAGCACCTAAGGTCAATTCGACCCGATAACGCAGTGTGAACGTGTTAAGTATGCTTTTTTAACCTTTAAAAAAAATTTTTGAACATCAAGTGCCTTTAAATAGTTTCCATCCTTTGACTACAACTTAATAAAAATAAGTACCATAACATAATTATTTTGAAGATTATTTGATATAGACAAAAAATAATTTATACAAATCGAATTATTTAAAAAAGTATCACAATATTGAATATTTGGTGCTCATTTCTTTTATTTTTGAGGACCAACAAGTAACGATCAGATATAATTTTTACATCTCAATAATTTTTTGCGTAGTTCAAAAGAGGTTAAAATATCGATCGATTTTATTTATTTTATGTCTCAAAGAAAGAGGATCAATCATTAAAATAGATGACCATTTAGATTTTTTTATTTGCCGTTTTTGCTAATTTAAAAAGATCATTTAAATACATGCCATAAATTAATATCCAACAGTCAGCCCTAAAATTAATCTAAAACTAGTGTTAGTCAGTAATAAGTAGGTACAGTTTACATTTTGATTATTTTTAAACCTAGATTAGTAATGAAGTTCCATTAAAAACGTGAAGATCGATTTTTGTTTGAGCCCGCAATTCGAAATTGGAACCATAAACAACTGCGAATCGGAATCGGCAAAATGTCATTTCGAGCAATCAGGGTTCGAATGATAGTTCCGTTCCAAATTCGAATTTAAAATCCGAGGCAAAGGACGGGTTGGCGTTCTAATAAAGCAGGTGAATTTTTGGCGGGAAACTGAAACGTCATTTTTAGCAGTTTTCTATTCTCTAAAGTGTTTAATCATATTTAGCCGACTATTAATTTATAATAATGGTGGATTACTAACAATTAAGAGTGTTCGTAGATGTGCATGAGTGAAGACAAATGAAACGAACAGTGCAATATACATTTTCAAGTTCTCTCAAAAAGTCCGCGTCATTTTTCAGTGATTTAATTAAGTTTAGGGTCATTTTAATTAAGAAAAATAAAAACGGTTAAGTATGTATAGGGCATTACATCTAAGACAAAAAAACTCAAGCTTGGCTTTAAGGTAAAAGCATTAACTTTGCCTTTTCCTGAAAAGGAAAGAATCAAACATTAGGTCTGGCGCTTATTTGAGTCAGTCTTGAGACTTCAGATGTGCTTCAGATTGGTATGCACTGTCACGTCATATGTCAGTCCACATACCTCTCCCGTGCTCCCACCTCAGGCACTGGCTGAGGTAACCTGTCAGTGCTAATGAAACTTTGACGGCAGATGCGGACGATGTTTAATCGCAATTTTTCATGGCTCGCGAATGAAAGGACATATCAGATTGATGGCCCGTCGCGGGCACAACGCGCCATTATGGCCCACTGTAATTGAATCTGGGTCGTTATGGGCACGAAATTAAAGGGTTTATTATTTTGAATATTTGAGAATTTTTAGTTTAAGATTTTTTCCAAGAGAGCTCGATAAAACTTACTATAATTAAATCTCTTCCTCTTCTGATATACCTAGATGATAGAATAATATGAACTAATTAATTAAATCTTCATGTTAAATTAATGCAGACCTATTTTTTAACACTAAACTTTTCTCAGCAGTTTATCCTATAACTACAATTTGAGAATAATATTGATGCTCATTTCATTTTCCAAGAAATATTATGTAATCCTCGTGTGTCGTTAGGGAACAATGTTGTGAAAGGATCTGCTACTCGGTTTACAGATTAAAATTTAGTTAGAATTTTAGACAGATTTGCATATTTAATAACAACCTTGCATCAATTTTTATTCTGTGAAAAATAAAATTATGTTAGACTGTAAACATAAATATTAACTTGTTAGTAAAACATTTGCATGCTGGTTCATATCTGGCGAATGTGTCCTGCTCCATTTCATTATGTAACAACTAATGTACCACATTCTGCAAATAAATAATTTGAATTTGAATTTGAATTTGAATTCAAAAACTTACCTTTTCGTACCATAGTAGATGAAGAATGAATTTATTCTTTAATCCTACGTTACTCAAAATTAAGTATAAGAATATAGGAAATCGGAAGTAAGATAAAATTAAATTTCCTCCGCCACGACAGCAATCTACCTTCCGAGCGTAATGCGTATGAATAAAACATCTTCCTCATGGCAAGGATTATAATAAAAATCAATTTTGTTCCAGATCTCCGAGCACAATGATCGACGGGAGCGCGCTGGAAAGCGCATCGACCCGCTGCAACACCTGCCAAAGAATCAAATAAATCACAAACTTAAACCATGAATGGAGAACGAGAGAATCTTCAAGAAATTCAAATGGACCTACCCAAAAGCATATGCTCGAACGGGTGCCAAAACGCGAGCAAACTCACCGCATTCCAACTCAGACCACCTGACCCCAACGACTCCTTCCTCCACCGTTCATTCACGAACGAAAGAACGAACGAGACCGACATAAGAATGGCATTAGACTTAAACGACTCATTCAGTGAACTGTACGGCTTCGACAGAGTCAACGGGACTTTTTTAAATTGCACATTTGGAAATGGAACGTGTGCTAGTGACGTGCAAAGTTATAACTTCTGGGCGTTATCGTTGTTGGTGTTCCCGTTATTAACGTTATTCGGCAACGTGTTAGTTATTATGAGTGTGTCTAGGGAGCGCAGCTTGCAGACTGCGACGAACTATTTCATAGTGAGCCTGGCGGTGGCGGATTTGTTAGTGGCTGTTGTAGTGATGCCTTTTGGAGTTTATTATCTGGTGAGTATTACTTATTAATATTATATTTATAACAAACGGTTTATTTTCATAACATTTACAATTAAATTCGGAAACAGGTAAAGTAATTATTTATGTGTTGTTGATAGAATAAAATGTTAACATAGCAGAAGCATAAACAAGTTTCTGAAATTATAATTATGAATGTGAAAACACGAGAACGAGAATCCATAATGTAGGTCTACACATAAACTTAATACCTATTTAATTTAATAAGAGTTTACAAAATAGGTCAACAAAGTTAGTGATGAATTATCTCATAGTATGACACTGAAACTTTAAGGACAACAAATCAATAGCGTATAGCGAAGGACTTTTAGCGTATACAGAAGGACTTTATTTATTTACATTATTTTTTCCTGCCACGTTCATTGTATATTATTCCGAAGCGTAATCCATCGTCAATAGCGCTCGTTGCACTGCACTGTAGTAAGGGAGAGTCCGCTAATTTGGACCAGTTTTTTTCAATCCCATTTTTGACATAGTTTTCTTTTGTTTTTGCTAATGTCCATGGTATATGATAAAAGATACATTATTCAACTTACTATTTCATAAGTATTAATTAACATGATTGTTGTATATTTAGCACAAATCAACAAAGTACGAGTTCAGAGCTTCCGGTCCAATTTAGCCAACCGGTTCGATAATTTGTACCACAGGGTTACTAAATTGGATTTCAATAAATTTCAAGCCTATAAAAAAAATATAAATTTGAAAAAAATTTAAAATTGTAAAGCAAAATATTATACGATACATTCTTAACAAATTAGGAAACGAAAAGAAACAGTAGTTAATAACATAGACAATTGATATTGTTTTACACGTTATCACGATTTTGAGTACAAGTTTTGTAATTCCAATTATCGTAACGCACACTTGTACTTAATCTACTTTGCCAGTCTTTTGCTTTCATTTATTGTTAGCCAAACATAACTACGCTATTATAACTTCAAAATATGATTTACTAAAAAAAAATTCAAAATCCTTTGGTAAAGTTCCATACAACTTGATGTGGTACAATTTAGCCGACTAGGTGAGAGTGCTTTTAAAAAATCGGTAAAAAATAGAGCTTATAAATACCGAAAAATGTTTCAAATAATTGTAATCCACACTAATTTACGCTTCTAATAATATATTAGAAACACCCTGTGATTAAATTTAACAAAATTATAAAGTAAACATGTATTGTCAAAAGTTACTTGAAAACAATGAAAAAATACTTTTCAAAATAAAACACACGTGTTTGTTGTCACGGCAAAAACCACATGGCCGATATTAATTGATTTTAGTTGTGTATCGCTGAGTGTTGCAATTACAGACATTCAATAAATACTTTACGAAATATGAGGGTGGTACAATTTACCCGGCGGTACAATATACCGAACTCTCCCCTATCAGCGACGCGCAGTGACCGCACGTTCGCAATGCACTGTATGCCGCGGTATCACTGGTTGTCGCGATAGGCTACGGTATACAACCTACGTGCTACCTACAGACGTTAATAAGAAAATGACTTTAGTCCACTAAAAATTAAAAACAAATCTCTCTTTCTAATTCCACAAAGAGTCTTGGGATAGGTTATGTATCATTAATAGTATAGTTCTTGCAACTCACGAAAGCGAGTGAGCTTTACTTGTGTGTGTAAATGTACATGTAGGTACCTAACGATAGTGTAATGTCTGACAAAAACGAACAGTAGCAAGCCACACATGTAAAGCTCACTCGCCTTCGTAAATTGCAACAAGTATACTTACCTATATCTGAGGTCCCGGGCTAGATCCTCAGTAGAGGCAAAATTTTCTGCTCGGTTCTGTGTTGAGGCCTGTTCTATGTATATTCGTCCGGCTAGCTAAGTAATTGCTCGTCGCAGTTCCTCACGGGACATGGCAACTTTAAACATAAACTTCACGAATTCAAACTAGTTCCGTCTCCTTTTTGCGAGTGTTCCACTGATGATGTCAGTCATGAGCAGTCTGCCCATCATATCTTGTGGGAGTGTGATCTTTGGAAACATGAACGTGATATAATGCTTAATTCAATACAACATATACATACATCTGTTTCCGCAATTTATTACACCGATCTTGTCGCGACAAGGAAAAATTTCCGTGGCGATTTTGTGCAAAATATTATTGGCAGGTAGTTGCTAATTGCTCATAAGATAGGCCCCCTTAATTTAATTTATTGTCCGTGGTGCATAATCTTTTTCTTAAAGGTTTTAAACCTTTGTTTGTCACCTGTCATTCGCTTTGCAATGGAGGGAAGTCGAACCTTAATTTCGAACTCCTCCTATGTTCTTTTGATTAATTTCGTTNCCCTTAATTTAATTTATTGTCCGTGGTGCATAATCTTTTTCTTAAAGGTTTTAAACCTTTGTTTGTCACCTGTCATTCGCTTTGCAATGGAGGGAAGTCGAACCTTAATTTCGAACTCCTCCTATGTTCTTTTGATTAATTTCGTTGCGGGTCCAATGACAGTTTAACTTTCCCCCGGGACAAACTTGACCTTCATTGGTTGGGTTTTTGTGGCGGTCAAGCTGTAGATCCTGGCTACACAGGAGTTGCAGTGGTGGGAACGAGAGGTGGGAATAGTCCCGTTTTTAGCTAAGTAATCTCTGTTGACATTACACTAATGAAAACAACATTGTTGTGTTTCGGCAGTCAGAGATCAGATAGCCAGTTCCTCTGTGGTTGGCCCTCGCTTCCACCTTAGGCCTGATTGTCACTTTCCATCACATGAGATGCATCCCAAGAGCTTCCCTGTTGTGTTTAAAAAAAAGTTTAATTGTAAAATTAAAATCAAAATGTATTTATAGTAACACTATTATACATAGACTATTTAAATAGTACTACAAATCGTCAAATATTTTACTCTTAAGGAGCCTCTACATGTCTCATAATCTTTTTACTCTACCAGCGCTTCGAAACCAACATTTGGCAAGTGCTGAGAAGAAGCGCCGCAACAAACTTAGTCACCACTCTGCTGGTTGATATTATAAATAAATAGAATGGAATGTAACTTCCATACGACCATAAAATTTGTCTGAAAACAACGGCCTCATTGATACTCATATCAGTTTCATCAGTCATTTATATGATTGCATTATATCCTAAATGTTTAATGGGGACCTTTTCCAATGATTGATGTAATACAGGGTGTCCCAGAATGGGTGAATCAAACTGCTAGGGGAGGTAGCTCTACTAATGTACTATCCTTAAAAAAATAGAAAAAAAATAAAGCGCTAAACAAAAAAAAATGTTTTTGAAAAAGTGAAAATTAATCAGCTTTGCCTAAGTATCTGGCTATAATTGCTGCTTTTGGAGTTTATTTGTAATTTTTGTTACTAATATTAATTGTACATGATCGCTTCGTTTATCTGTAAGCAAACTTTAAAAAATGATGACTAGATTTCGAGTTTAGGGCACTTTATTTAAAAGAAAAATCCGAACTCAAAAATTTTTTTTCATATTTTTTGGGATAGTACATTAGTAGAGCTACCTCCCCTAGCAGTTTGATTCACCCATTCTGCGACACCCTGTATGTTCAGGAGGTGTAATTTTGTTCACTAATCGTGTATTATCTAGACGTTAAACTGACAGCTATCGTTATTGATACTAAAGTTATAATAGGGTAAAGTTATTCAGCCAATTATAATCAAGTTTACTAAGCATTAGTGGCATTAGCCTACAAAAGCTTTTAAGTAATTAGATTTAGTGACAAGATCCTTACAATATTGGCTACATGGACATTTTGTTATCCCAAAAACCATTATTGGCCATCCATATAAGGGGCTGGAATCAACTCAAATGATGGAATAAAAATTCAGATCTGAATACTGGAGAGTTACTCTTTTTTCAGTATAGTAATTTACTTAATATCTAGAATGGTAGGAATTCCGAGAGCTAGTTTAAATGCTGAAACGAATCTCAAAATCTTTATACCTACCAATCGTAGATATCGTAGGTAGAATCGATAGATAGTTTTATCCGTTCTAGAGTAGGTACAGTTTCATATTAATGAGTGTTTTCATAATACGAGCTTTCCGGTACTTTCATAAGGAAAACATAAAAGCTTATAATTTGCTCATAAATCACTCACACAAGCTCCTTCCAGCTTCTAAACGAGCTGGCCGCAAATAAACACTTTGCAAACAATCCTTTAATAAGTAGGATCTATACAAAACGATTCCGTTGCTAACTCAACATTGTTTTTTAAAGAACTATGCTAATGACTTCTTGGCGGGAAAGTGAACCATCATTCAACACTTTTTTTTAAACTAGTGTTTCGCCGACTATTAATGTGTAATAATGAAATAGTGGATTACTTATTAACCATTAAACGAAGGTGCATGAGCGTAGGCAAATGAAAGAAAAAATGCAATATCACTATCATTTATTTAATCTTGAATTAAGTTTAAGGTCATTAATTACGAAGTGTTCAAAACTGAAGACTTGGCTGTATGTCATCATGCCTTTGCCTTTTCTTACAAAAAAAATAAAACAAAAAAAATAATGAACCTTCGAAAAATTATTGGAATTTTCAAAATCATTCCAATTTCAAAATGCGAATACGGAGACAACAGAAAATCAAATTGTCTCAGCCACCGGCCTCTTGACGATCACTGAGGCGTTTATAATAGCCGCTGCAACGAATATTTCAATAGCTAGAGCACAAGAGACTCGGAGATTGGAAATCTTTGTTGTTTCCTTTACGACCAAAAATAAGACTTCATGCTCAGACATGCATGATCGTTGTCAAAAATTTTAATAGAAACTGAAAACTGTACTAACCGTACCTATTATTTATTTCTGAGAAATTGATTTAAAAAAATCTATTAATTACATCAATTCTATAGTCTCAGTTCAAACTAAGCAGTCTTGTAACAGAAACTCATACCTACATAATATACGAGAACATACCTAAATAAATAAAGTGTACCTAGAAGAAAGTAAATAAATTATGAATAGGTACCAACCAATAGA